AGCTGATGTGTGGAAACAGGCTAACATAGTTCCAATCTACAAAAGTGGCAGCAGGGAAGACCCCCTCAATTATAGACCTGTATCATTGACAAGTGTAATAGTGAAAGTATTGGAGAAACTAATCAAAACCAAATGGGTAGAACACCTGGAGAGAAATGATATAATATCAGACAGACAATATAGTTTTCTATCTGGAAGATCCTGTGTATCAAATTTACTCAGTTTCTATGATCCAGCCACAGAGATTTTACAGGAAAGAGATGGTTGGGTTGACTGCTTCTATCTGGACCTAAAAAAGGCAGAGTTCCACATAAGAGGTTGTTTTGGAAACTAGAAAATATTGGAGGGGTTACAGGTAAGCTTCTAACATGGATGAAAAATTTTCTGACTGATAGAACAATGAGGGCCGTAATTAGAGGCAATGTATCGGACTGGAGAAATGTCACAAGTGGCGTACCACAGGGTTCAGTTCTTGCACCAGTAATGTTTTTTGTCTACATAAATGATCTACCAGTTGGTAGTATACAGAATTATATGAACATGTTTGCTGATGATGCTAAGATAATAGGAAGGATAAGAAACTTAGATGATTGTCATGCCCTTCAAGATGACCTGGACAATATAAGTATATGGAGCACCACTTGGCAAATGGAATTTAATGTTAATAAATGCCATGTTATGGAATGTGGAATAGAACATAGACCCCACACAACCTATTTATTATGTGAGAAATCTTTAAAGAATTCTGATAAAGATAGAGATCTAGGGATACCTTACCTTGAGGTGCTTCCGGGGCTTAGCGTCCCCGCGGCCCGGTCGTCGACCAGGCCTCCTGGTTGCTGGACTGATCAACCAGGCTGTTGGACACGGCTGCTCGCAGCCTGACGTATGAGTTACAGCCTGGTTGATCAGGTATCCTTTGGAGGTGCTTATCCAGTTCTCTCTTGAACACTGTGAGGGGTCGGCCAGTTATGCCCCCTATGTGTAGTGGAAGCGTGTTGAACAGTCTCGGGCCTCTGATGTTGATAGAGTTCTCTCTCAGAGAACAGAGGGATGGTTCTAGATAGAAAACTATTACCTGAGAACCACATAAAGAACGTTGTGCGAGGTGCCTATGCCACACTTTCTAACTTCAGAATTGCTTTTAAATACATGGATGGCGATATACTAAAGAAATTGTTCACAACTTTTGTTAGGCCAAAGCTAGAATATGCAGTGGATGTGTAGTGCCCATATCTTAAGCACATCAACAAACTTGAAAAGGTGCAAAGACATGCTACTAAGTGGCTCCCAGAACTGAAGGGCAAGAGCTACGAGGAGAGGCTAGACGCATAAAATATGCCAAAACTAGAAGATAGAAGAAAAAGAGGTGATATGATCACTACGTACAAAATAGTAACAGGAATTGATAAAATTGATAGGGAAGATTTCCTGAGACCTGGAACTTCAAGAACAAGAGGTCATAGATTTAAACTAGCTAAACACAGATGCCGAAGAAATATAAGAAAATTCCCTTTCGCAAACAGAGTGGTAGACGGTTGGAACAAATTAGGTGAGAAGGTGGTGGAGGCCAAAACCGTCAGTAGTTTCAAAGCGTTATATGACAAAGAGTGCTGGGAAGACGGGACACCACGAGCGTAGCTCTCATCCTGTAACTACACTTCTGTAATTACATAGTGACAGAGGGTGTGCGAATAATTTTGTTGACAGTTTACATTTGGTCAGGTCTACATTGGCAGATAATGAGAATTCCCAGAGATACTTGTAACCAAGTCTAAGCCGAGCAGTAGTAACATCTAGAAGTCTGCTGATTTTATTGGATGAACCATAGATGTGTGGCTCCTCTTGCATGATAGTATGATGATAGATGGAATTATTGGTGTCGATTTCACTTTGTCTCAGATCTACAAGATTTTGTTGAAGTTCTTGGTGTACTGCTGCTCTCAGACTGCTCATTGACAATCCAATGTTACACTCAACGTCTCCTTTAAAGGCAGATTCTTTGACTAACTCATCAGCTCTATCATGCATTCGGAGACCAACATGAGATGGAGACCACATAAAATGGACTCTGTTATCATCATTAAAAATTTTGTTGTATTTGTGTCTAACTTCGGGAACAAGCATGTTACAGTTATGTCTCAAAGAGTTGAGACTAATTAAGGATGATAAGGAGTCACTTACAATTAATGTATCAAGTTTGGAGACTTGTACACATTTCAGTGCAAGGAGCAAGGCAAATAGTTCGGTCTGAAGGGTAGAGGCCCAGTTGTTTATATGGACTCCCCACTCAAAATAAAAGCCATCGCCCATTGTCAGGACAACTGGACAGTCTCACGACTATTGAGCGTTCATCGCTGTATTAGCTCACTGGGGAAAAAACTTATCACCAGCTGCCAACATCCCATCTAGAAGCTGGCTGAGTCTGGAGCCAATAGACCACAACCTGATGTACCTAGTACTGTAGTAGGGAGGGAGTTAGGGAGCAAGCAAGGCACACCGGGGCATTTCATTACACCGAAAGGTGTTTTGTTTTTTAAATCTCTATCAAGCATATGTGGGTGACTGAAATATTAAAAATACAATATTTAAAAAACTAGTTTTGGCATCTAGACAGGGTTTGTACTTGCTGGCAAATGTAGATATCCTTTTGTAGAATATCAAAATATTTGTTAAAATGAGGATGATTTAAGCATCTAAACCCAAGACACTTGTAAACTTGAAGACTCATTGATGAATTATTGAAACCAGACATTGGATGCAGAATTAAGATAATACATTGGTTTAAATTTAGATATACTGTATAGGAAAAGTGGTAATACACAATAAGTACAGGAATTTTATATAGATGTGCTATAATAAATGAGGAATTAACAAGAGATTTACCAAGAAGTTCATAACCCTGTTGGTAATGAGCCTCAAGACTAAAAAGGCATGTCACCAAAGAGTGTGGAGGGAGAGTCAAGTACGATGAAGATGCTAGATTATACAGCACTTAACCCTTGTGTTGCTCAGGGCTAATTAGCATTTGTCACCCACAGGTGCATACCTAAAAAAATATATATATTTTTTCTTCTAAACCTGCTTAATTTGGTTTAAAATCTCTGATCATGGGAAAAATAATAAAAAAATCGTAAGTGGCATATATTGCCCGCTATAGTGCAGGGAAATCTGGCAAAAAACAGGCGCTGACTCAGCGGGCGTCCCAGATGGTCCTGTTGCTCCCAGGTGTCAAGCAGAAATGACCACAAAGAGATAATTACCTAATTATTTCAATGTCTCTGATTGATTTTTTGTAGTTTTTTTTGCTGTAATATTATTCAATAGTGTGTAGTGTGATACATTTATATAATAAAATGAGTGAATCATCGCTGTACTCAAAAATATGGTGTGCATATTGTTGATTCAATTACGTTCATCAAACAGTGAACAAATGCTTTGTCGGTTATTACATTATATACACAGGTTATATATAAGTATCTGCATGTTTTGTTCACCATTACGAACCACTAAGTTGCTATTATGAGGCAAAAAGCAACGAGGAGTGACCGCCACACACCAGCCAGCCACTCGCTGCCACTCACTCCCTCAACACCTCACTCGCCCACATCTCCTCCCACCATACTGTTTTTGCTTTTATTCTCTATATACAGACGTTATATATAAGTATCTACATTCATGTTCACCATAACGAACCACTAAGTTGGCATGCTGAGTGGCAGTGGCAGCCCGCCACTGGCTGCTACTTCCCCCTCCCCCAGTTCACCTGACTCACCCACATTCTCCTCCCACAATACTGTTTTTGCTTTTATTCACTATATACAGACTTTATATATAACTATCTACATGTTTTGTTCACCACAACTGTACAACTAAGCTGATATAGTTAGTTCAGGCACTAAGAGACGTCGCTACACACAGTCAGCTGACGGCTGCCTCTTTCACACATTCAAGGTCAGACGCACTAAAATTTCACCCCCAACAATACTGTTTGTGGTGTTATTACCCTATATACAGACATTATATATATAAGTATCTACACGTTTTGTTCATCATAACTGTTCAACTAAGCCGGTATAATGCCCAAAGAGCATAGTGGCCACCCTTACCCAGTATGACAAATCATGCAGATGTTGCCACACCCATCACCAAAATGGCTTCTCTCTCACACTCCTTTTGCTGTTATTACACTGTATATACACATTATATATAAGTATCTACATTCGTGTTCACCATTACGAACCACTAAGTTGGTATGATGAGTGGCGTTGGCAGCCCGCCACTGGCTGCCACTCCCTCCCTCCCTCACCTCACCTGACTCGCCACCATTCTCCTCTCACCATACTGTTTTTGCTTTTATATACAGACGTTATATATAAGTATCTGCATGTTTTGTTCACCATAGTGAACAACTAAGCTGGTATAGTGAGTCCAGACAGTAAAAGGTGGTCACACAGAGTCAGCAGACAACGCTACCTCCCTCACCACCAAGATTACTCCTCCCACTACAGCGCTAATTATCAGAATCCTAGTCATTTTTATCAGTCAGTGGTCTTCTGTAATAATATCATCGCTAAATAATAGCATGAACATGTATATTATGGCATTTTTAGACGATGCTGTGATCACAAGCTGAACAGCAGTGCTGTGAGCTCATGCTGCGTGCGTCAGGTTTGGTGGCTCACTCAATACTGAGGCTCCTCACACCAGGGAATTTGACCCACGATATTTAAAAAAAGTGGTGTCTGTTTACAAGAGCCCTGATGAAGGTGAGGTGAACCCTGTGTATCCGTGGGCCATTTAAATCTTGCGTAGTACTCCAATACATCATATGATGGGATGCGCATTTTATAGCAAGTCACTCAACGCATCATATGATGTGTTGCGCAACTTAAGGGGTAAACAGAATATATGGATTGAGAGAAGGAATGGTGACCAGCTATAAGTAATAACCAAATTTGATATACCTGTATTTATAATTTATCATGTGTACTTTTCAGGTCTTGAAGTACGAAAAACAGCGCCTTGTTGAAACAGTTGAAGCTTCAAAGATGACCACGGAGGGTTTATTGCAGAAGGTTGAGTCGGGTCGCAAACAGTGTCACGATAACCAATTGTAAGTTTACATTAGATTTTTTATAATATAGCCAATTAATCCATCATTACAATACTGTATACAAGTTTACTCTAATTGTAAGACTTTAATGAAACATTTTTAGTGACCAATAAGTTACTGTAAATGGAAAGTTTTGTTCTAAGGATATGTGGAGTATAGCCACATGGTCTTGAAAGGGAGGTAGTTTGCTGTAGCATAATAGAATGAAGTTAATTACCACATGCTAATAGATTGAATATTTTAATCGTACATTATGCAGTACAAATTGATAATTTTTTTTTAGGCCCCTGTCCAGGTGTGCATATGAAAGTTTACAAAAATTGTCTCCTTTCTGGTGGAGCCCCTGTTGGTGGCTTCCAACCACTAGTTCACATCAGTCATAGGAGCTGTGTTTGGCCTACAGGGGACTAGCATCAGAGATTGGGGTGCAGTGTGTGATAACACTCTGCCACCCTATTGAGAAAGCATCCAGAAAGTCAGCGAAGTTCACGAACAACTGCAAGGTTCATGGACAATGAAGCATTGAAATGACTAATGAGCCCCACAAACAATTCAGATAAAACAATTGGTTCAATTCCTGTCTCACTTCTGTCCAATTTTCATTGAGTGCACCGTTGATAGTGTGTCCTTCCATTGGCTTTGAAAGACGTTTGGTCGCCCTGAGGTGGACCTCTTTGCACCAGCATAGAATCGGTACCTTCCCTCCTACGAGGCTCTTTTTCCTAATCAGGGAACAGCACCAGTGAATGCCTTTTGGCTGGACTAGTCGAGGTGTATTTATTTTTTTCACCTGGTTTAGTTGTTGCTCTGGGTGTTTGTTGCTATTGGACCTTCTCTGCTCTACATGTCTGGACCTAGATTCACGAAGCTCCATGTATTTCTTCGTAAGTAGGTTTGCTACGAAGGTTCCTAAGTATGCCCTAAGAAGATGATTAGGTGCAATTCACGTAGGTCCACTTAGGAAGATATTTGTTGGTTCACCTGCGTGCCGATAGAGGTCACTACTGTGTTTCGTTTGACCAATCAGAGAGCAGGCAACATTCTTCATATTGAAGATTTAGCGCTGGCTTATTGGAGCTCTATTGCCTCCTATTTACATCAAATTTTCTTATGAAATTAGTATATTTCGAAGTAAAACTGTTTTTTCAACTTATACAGCCAGCACCGACATTGTAGTAAACAAATATGTTACATTTGTTGTTTACCTACGTAATTCTAAGAGATACTGTGTAGCTGTCCTTGTTGCTTGGAAGATGTGCTGACAATTATTGTATATATTTACTGAATTTACCCAAGGGCCACTAACTATCTAGTGGCCTCGACGAAGACAGAAAGCCGGCGGCTTGTTAAAGGGCCCGCCAATTGTCTTGATGATATTTTTTAGCTGAAATTTGGCATTTACGGCTTCAGCGGGTAGGTGGTTCCATGGGTTTATAACCCCTCTTGGTAGAAAAAACATATGTTTTCAGTCCTACTTGAGAGAACATACTCTCCAACACTATATCTGTGATTGCCCTGTTATCAGTGACTTTATACCAAATGGTATGAGGTACTTTGAGCTCTGTAATTACTTCATACACTCAGGAATATTGGAAGATATTCTTGTGCTGCACCTAGATTTTGCCAGTGGAGGCTAATAGATCAGTATTAAGTATTTTGTTCTCTCCTGATTACATGTATGACTGGCCATCCTGTGAGGTGAGGATGTTGGATGAGCTTGTAGCTGGTTTTTGATCTAAACTGTGTGGTCCTTCATACAGAATAGGGAAGCAGCACATTGCTGTGTATACCTAAACATGTTAAAAAATACATTGTGTGAGAGGAGTCTTGTAGAAACTGGTAAGAGTAATTACAATATAATGTTTCCATGATTCAGTGCTTACCTCTTGTGAAAATCGCAAAGAGTTGTTTAGTCAAAGTTGATTTGTTTTTTGTATTGAGGCTGGTATTTTCTAAATTGACTCCATGTATGCCTAACCATCCTGTGAGATGGGAGTAATAGATAAGCTTATAGCTAGTTTTTTATCTACACTGTGTAATATTCCATATAGAATAGGGTAGCAGCACATTGCTGTGTATACCTAATCTTCTTAATAAAAAAAATCAGTAATAAAGATTTTAAATTATAGTTTGTATTATAACAAACACTGTATCATCCTTATTAAATCATGTTAACCATGGATCATTAAGATCTCATGTTGATATGTAATAGTCATATTTCTTTTGAACTGCTAATCCATGCTAATCATTCATTAAATTGTGCATTGTCTCAATTTTTCACTTTCTTGGATATAAAAAGATAGGATAAAAATAAACCAGTAATATTTCTTTCATTATATTTTTTGTTTAAATAACTGCATCAATATTTTTACAGCTGACAGGATTTGTTTTACCATACAGGTGCATTATTTGTTAAAAAAAATTGGTTTATTGTTACACACAATGGTGCAACATTAGCCTTCCCAGCTTGGTGCCTTCTTTTAATACTTACTGATTAATAAATAAATAATAATAAATAAATATTATTCAGGAAAAGTACATACAGTTGATTTACAAACATAATGTTGGATTTATAGACAGAGCTAGTACATACAATACCTAAAGCCACTAATACTCATAGCATTTCGGGCAAGGTGTGGGGGAAAAAACACAGACTAAAACTTAATAGTAATCGGGATTAGGTATAAATTGTGTTGAAAGAAGGAATAAAAAATACAAAAAGGGGGGTAACAGCAGAAATCAGCAATTGTACACATTGGTGAACAGCATTGTTTAAAAAATAGCAAGACATGGGTTGACATTTAGGGGGTAAGTTAGGTTACATGGAGTTAATTAGGTAGTACTTGGTTTTACTCTTAAACTGGTTGAGAGAGGTACAGCCTTTGACATGATTCTGGAGGTCATTCCACATTCTGGGTCCCTTGATTTGTAGAGCACTTCTAGTTTGGTTACACACAGCCAAATTGTGTAACAGGAAGAGGTCTTGGACACAAATTTGTTCCATGCTAAATGTAGAGGAATCAGCTGAGTATTCCTTAAATAAAATAAGTTGCCTCAGCTTATAAGGTAAATAAAATAAGCATTTCACAAATAAGTAGCTGCCTCACCTCACTGCCTTACTGCTACATAGCCTTCCCGGCATGGTGCCTTCTTTTGATAATTACTTGTTCCACACCCAAGTTGTATAACAGGAAGAGGTCTTGGACCCCTACTTCCCTCTTTTTTAATAGTCCATATAGTCATAATTATAGCTTTAAGTATTCAATGAATAAAGTTTTTGACATTTTTACCCTTCTCCTTACCTATCATCATTTGTGCAGCATATTTTTATTTTGTCTCACCCAGATTTAATTTCAAAATAAAACCAAATTAAATAAATTAGAAATGGGTATGTATAGCTATGGTACACCCTTACTACTAGGTGAACAGGGGCATTTGGTGATAGTAAATGATCCCATCAGGCAGGGCTCATCACCTTCTCTCATGTTTCATGTTCACCAGTGTTTGTTTACTTAATACCTACGGGTATAATATCTTGCTGTTATAAAACTAATTCTGATATCATAAAAGACATGTTTACTCAAAGTTTCAAGCAGAGAATGCATATATAACTAACACGAAGGACTCCTCTCCATGATATTCATTTTTTATAATCTTTTTTGTTCCAAAATCTTAAAATCGATCCCAGTGTTATGTAGTAGACAAAAATTTAGTTATATCCAGTTTACGTAAAGCTATGAGTGCCCGACAGCACACTTAGATCCCGGACCAAACTTACGAAGGTTTTTCGACTTAGTGTAGCTACCTGAATACCGACGTAGCCACTACGAAGGCGCTAAGAAGGAAAACATTCGTAAGTATTTTCGTGAATCTGGCCCCAAGAGTTTTTACATTAGTCTGTCACCATTTGTATGGCAAGCAGGTGTCTGAGTTATTGGTGTCCCACCTGTGATTTATTCAGTCAATGGTAGTATGAAGTTTCCTTGCGCTCATTTCAGCTTTTGTTTTTTCTCATTGTTGGGTTTGGTTTCAGTCAGTGGTACTGTCTTGTCATGGTTGTTCCTCAACTGGCATCTTGTCTGTTAGTGTTGCCACTTATTCAACATTGGCAGAGCCGTTGTTGCTCGTTTCTGGCACTATTCTGCTAGTTGTCTCGTGCATTTTTTCACCTCCAGCCTGCTCATGCTCCTCCTAAACCATCCTTCTCTTGACAGGGTTTGTGTTGCTCTCCTTTTCTCTGTGCACAGTTGCTCCTTCAGCCAGAGGTGTGTTTCTGAAAGTGGTGTTTTTGTTGGCTTTCCCTTTGGGCTGCCAAGTTGTGAAGCTCCATGCTCTTCTTCAAACAGGGGGTTCTGCTTCCTTGGCCCTGGTGGGAGTTTGTTTGCCAGCAGCCTTTCTCTCTTTCTAGTAAAAGTCGAGTTAGCTAGCTTGCAGAGGGGTCCTTTGAAATTGAAATAAGTTGATTGAGGTATAAATACAAAGGGATGAGGTAGCTCAAGCTATTCTCAAGGTCCTTTGATGCTTGGTTTGTCCAGTTACAGTGTTAAATTAGTTTGCCAGGTTCTGGCTCTAGTGCCGGTCCCCGATAAGGCAAACAGAACTCCTGTGACCGAAGGTTTCCAACTATTATGTCACATTTCAATGAGCTTCAGTATACCAGTGGGGCTCTACCATAAAAAAAGAGACATTTCATTACATTTAATGATGGGTTTCTATGTAGTAAATAAACTAATTGTAATAATTTATGAACCAAGTAGATATTTGTGATAAGTCCTTGAAATTTAGCATAGCATCAGCAATTGGATGGTACTGCACCAGAAATAGTGGCAACTGTTTTCATAATGCACAGGATGGTAACTAAAGCTTGCAAAATATATATTTTTTTTTTTGTCAAATGATTGCCAGAGGTCTCTAGTGTAAAATTATAACCTGAAGTTATTTAGGCACATTTAATATTGAGGCATATTAAATAGGACACAAACAACTGGAGTCATTATAGGATTAAGTGGCAGTGGTAATTATCTTTAGAAAAGGCACTAGTTTAATTGTAATTTTTGTCATTGCAGAGAGATCCAGAGTCGCTTATCACCCTTGAATGAGCTTTACGCCTTGTCTTCAGAACTTCCTCAGGAGACTATGATAGCTTGCTTTCATAATATTATAGATAGAATGCAATGATATGCTATTTTGAGATTAAGTAGAGAGCCCTGAATGATAATTAAGAATTACATGTAAAATATGTTGACTGAATTAGGAGCCCCGAGGCTCAAACCTCCACACTGGGTGTTCCCACGCACACGCCATGAACCACAATATACTGAAAGTAATGCTACCTGAAATTCAACTCAATCCTCTAAAGGGGGGGGGGGGGTCTTGAGGCTTCCAGTAAAAGTTCTCTTCTCTTAAGAAAAATGTTGTAAGGCAGAGGTGTTTGGTATAGAGTTCTACCCCCGAGTGCATGTGTGAAACACTCTACTTTTAGTAGTCACCTTGTTTAGGCATAAACCCTTCTGATCCCGTCATTGCAGTGGAAGCCTCAAGACACACACCCCCCCCCTCCCCTAGAGGATTTGGTTGACTATCAGGTAGCATTACTTTCAGTATATTGTTCAAGAAGTGTGCTTGTGAACACTCAGTGTGGAGGTTTGAGTCGTGATATATCGCATTAATGTAGGATAAAACCCCACTATGTAATATGTAAAATTTGTTAAGATTTACACCTAGTCTTTGCACTCGAGTGCTTTGTCAAGGTCTTAAGTATGTGGTTAGGACGAAACTTGCTTCTTGATGACTAGTGGAGCTGCAATCCTAGATCCAGTCCTTTTCATCGTTCTTGACCTGACTACGTCAGCTCTATTGACAATGCCCGTGATGATGTTTTCGATGGCATTACGATCAGTTCTCAGGAAGGGCACCTGGAGTGTGTAATAGGTATTCATCTGGATGCTATCCAAATGGCACTAATGATATTCCATTTATTGAGATGTAATTTTCTTGTAAAGGTAAGAGACAACATTAATCTATCCTCTGATTTTGCTGCAAAATTTCACAGTATTAGAACCCTTTCTGTTCTAAAATTATTAAATTTTATTTATAATATGTATGTATATTGACCAGACCACACACTAGAAGTTGAAGGGATGACGACGTTTCGGTCCGTCCTGGACCATTCTCAAGTCGATTGTGATAAGGAGGTAGGGATAGGCAAGAGAGAGCTGAGGAGGAAAGTAAGGTGTAGGGGATAGTAGTAATAATGAGAACTGCAGAAGGCCTATTGGCCCATACGAGGCAGCTCCTCTTATAACCACCGAAGGAGATAGTAATAGGAATAAGACGAGGATAGCAAGGGAGCGTAGGACAAGACAATGCACAGAAAAAGGGAGGAGAAAGAAATGGAAGGGGTAAGCTTATGTTAAGTCACGTTTGTTAGAAAGATTAGAGCATTTGAGTATATACTGTGACAGGGAAGAGTCCACAGCAACGAAGCCAGGACTCACGTTCATGTAGGGTACATTGTGTATCAGAGCCGATTCTACAAGACGGCGTCTGTGAAGAGTAGAGGCAGGAAAGATTATTTTGGAGGAAGACCAATCAATGGGATGATTAGAATCCCTCACATGGCAGAAGAGAGCATTGTTAGTGTCTGCAGACTTAACACTTCTCTTGTGTTCTTTAAGTCTGTCATTCAGTGTACGGCCAGTTTCGCCAAAGTATTGGAGAGGACAAGATGAACAGGAAATAGAGTAGACACCAGCAGCAGGAGGAGCAGTGTGAACTAGATTGCTACGAAGTGTGTTAGTTTGTCGAAAGGCGAGTTTAATGTCAAGAGTTTAATGTCCTCTTGACATTAAACTCGCCTTTCGACAAACTAACACACTTCGTAGCAATCTAGTTCACACTGCTCCTCCTGCTGCTGGTGTCTACTCTATTTCCTGTTCATCTTGTCCTCTCCAATACTTTGGCGAAACTGGCCGTACACTGAATGACAGACTTAAAGAACACAAGAGAAGTGTTAAGTCTGCAGACACTAACAATGCTCTCTTCTGCCATGTGAGGGATTCTAATCATCCCATTGATTGGTCTTCCTCCAAAATAATCTTTCCTGCCTCTACTCTTCACAGACGCCGTCTTGTAGAATCGGCTCTGATACACAATGTACCCTACATGAACGTGAGTCCTGGCTTCGTTGCTGTGGACTCTTCCCTGTCACAGTATATACTCAAATGCTCTAATCTTTCTAACAAACGTGACTTAACATAAGCTTACCCCTTCCATTTCTTTGTCCTCCCTTTTTCTGTGCATTGTCTTCTCCTACGCTCCCTTGCTATCCTCTTCTTATTCCTATTACTATCTCCTTCGGTGGTTATAAGAGGAGCTGCCTCGTATGGGCCAATAGGCCTTCTGCAGTTCTCATTATTACTACTATCCCCTACACCTTACTTTCCTCCTCAGCTCTCTCTTGCCTATCCCTACCTCCTTATCACAATCGACTTGAGAATGGTCCAGGACGGACCGAAACGTCGTCATCCCTTCAACTTCTAGTGTGTGGTCTGGTCAATATACATACATATTATAAATAAAATTTAATAATTTTAGAACAGAAAGGGTTCTAATACTGTGAAATTTTGCAGCAAAATCAGAGGATAGATTAATGTTGTCTCTTACCTTTACAAGAAAATTACATCTCAATAAATGGAATATCATTAGTGCCATTTGGATAGCATCCAGATGAATACCTATTACACACTCCAGGTGCCCTTCCTGAGAACTGATCGTAATGCCATCGAAAACATCATCACGGGCATTGTCAATAGAGCTGACGTAGTCAGGTCAAGAACGATGAAAAGGACTGGATCTAGGATTGCAGCTCCACTAGTCATCAAGAAGCAAATTTTTTTTTTTTTCTCTTCACTAAGCAAATGTGACACTGGTAATTGATATATTAAAAGAAACAACCATTATGAATTTTTTATTTTTTCCCCATTAATTCAAAATAGTTGAAAAGAAAAACACAGTACAAAATACATTAAACAATCCTTAAAAAAAAAAAAAATTAAAATATAATAACTTCACACTGAGGATCCTTTCTAGGATTTGTTGTAACTATGATGATATTTTTATTTTACAGCAGTAACGCCAACATGCCAACCATTTATATAATGCATTACAATGCAGTGAATTTGTCCAATGAAGCCTCTCCACTAGCCCTGATAAAACTCAGGCAGCTCATTGTGGAGGAATACTCTTCTCTCGACTCCATCCTTGGTGATGATGGCAACACGTACTACACCTCCACTGCTGCCATCACGGGTCAAGGCCAGAGTCAATGCTGCAACAAAAACACACCAATTAGTTTTACATTCTCAGACACATTTGTTGCAAATATTGACAATATTTATCCACAATACATTGAATAGGTCAAAGTTATTTTATATGGCTCAATACTTACTCTTTTTGACAAATGCCACAGTTTCTTCTTGATTCATGTTCGGTGTGAAGGCAGCATCTATATGGCCCCACACGTAGGTGCTGCCAGACCCTCCAATAGCTATTGGCTGTCGAACCATCATCCCTCCTAAAGGTATTGTATACACCTGAAAATATAAGCATCCCAATTAACAAATAATTCCTAGATAAATAACATGAAAATGTCATGGTCACAGACTGAGTGCTAGCTATGCTTATCTAGTTTTGGTACTCCCTTTGTAAAACTTCTAGTCAACAACACGGAATTGTCAACGTAACTATCAGAGGTACCAAAGTAATTCTCAAAAGATAAGACTCGCAAATTAAAGCACCATTTGAGTATTTAGAAACTTTGATATCATTCAGGATCCCAATATTTAGCATAATTCTCCAAACATTTAAGGGCGCATTACTTCCGAATTTGCCCAAAATACTGTATGGAATAAATGAAAACTCGTTTGATTTCAAACTTTTTTGACAAGTTGTATATGAAAAGGGTTTCATCTGGTCCAAGTCTCAGCATCATAGCATAAATAGGAAGGGAGAAAAAAAATATTGAATTGTCAAAAATTTTCCAAAATGGCCAAAAACAACTATCAAACAAAAATGTCAACTGATATCATGTCTATGACTCGGCTATCACAATAGCATATATTGACAACTACTTATAATTAGTTTTATTAAAAAAAATTTAGTTAAAAATAAAAAGGCAATATTTATTTTTTATTTTTATCTCTGTTTATAGGCAGATTTGCATGAAACTTGTACACCTGACTGCACGTATACCTATCTGTAAGGGTGCCAATTTTGGAGGAAATTGGTTGATGTCAACCTCAGCCACAGATGGCAGCACCTTAGCCTATTTTTTACTTATTTGAACATTTATGTTAATTGAAAATAAATCTCATTTTTTATTCAATTTACATGAAACTTACAACTTATATGTAAAGTTTATGTCTCTAAAATCTTAAGGAAGTATTTTTTCCTGAGTTCATAAATAGCAATAAACATGATATACTTGCATAATTTTGGGGGGAACTTTGACTATTTGTATTAGGAAACCTAAAGACGTTTTGGAAAATTCTTTCCTAAAGATTTAATGTGTCAGAAAAGTGTCATAGAATGATTATATCTGAAAGGTGTGGTTGTAAACCTAACACTTGAAAATGTGTCAAATTCGTTGAAATAACAAAAAAATTACAAATCTCCCTTACTATTTACGCTACAGTACTGAAACTTAAAAAATTGCAACCCTTTTCACATACACCTAGTCAAACAATAATGGTTGACATTGAACACTAAGTTTCCATAAATAATGCCCCCTTAAACTACTATAGTCATAATCATAAGGCAACATGAAACACTACCAAATATTTGCTTCATTGGGAACCCTACATATTTTTGATGCTGTCTTCCCTATGCAATGCCTTTAAAAACAGAAGCATATGCAACATCTAGCACAAAATGACATGCCTAAAATGCTGCCACTAATGCTGTAGTTTTTTTATCTGGCATAAATCAGCAAGGCTCATCATAACTCTGCACTGGAAAGCAAATGACAAAAAATGCTTACCTGACCACCTTTGGCCTTATCCCATCCAGCAACTATGATTCCTGCCATGAGCTGGTCACGGTAGTTGTAGCAGATCTCTTTAAATGTGTTAGCTGCTACTTGGACCAGTGGAGGATCCCCTAGCTTCACCCTGTGTGTAAACAAACATTATGAAAACGAGTCGCAATAATATGGCTGAAAAGTAGATACTCAATCCACACATCTATAAAAAAAATAAAAAAAATGGGGAAGACAACATTTTGGTTTGCCCTGAGCTTAATAGTTTTTCAGGATGGGTCGAAATGTTCTCATAAATTATTAATTATTATTTATGTTCTACCATAAACACTTTCTTTTCAGAAGTGCAGGTTGGATTTCATCATGAAACTTTAGAATCAACATTTTTATGTATACTGACAAATTCTGAGTATTGATTTTTGCTCTGATTACATCCTGATTACATTATATCATAGTTTCCTTCTAATATTCCCTACTGTCTTTATTTAAATTCGTCTGTAACTGCTTGCAGCCCATAACCTGGGTCATCATAACCTGGTTGGTCACGTACTTGAAGTTTGAGTAAACACACGGTACTGTACTTCTGCTTAACTAAACCAATAATTATCTACTTCCTCCATTATAACCGAGATTGGTACGAATGCGACAATTTGATTTATTTTACTGTAAACAATGATGTATTTATTATAATTTAAATACTAACCATAGAAAAGTTATTGTACAATTGGAAATAAACATGATACAATACAGTACAGTATTATATGTAAAAAAAATTGCCTTGTGACCTTCCACTGGCCATGTGAGGTTTAATTGGAAGCACTAAAAGAATATACAAATAATGATCACCCAATTAAATGCAAAAGTATTCTAAATACACCTGCATGCTATTTCAAAAGTTGCAAGACTTTCCATCAAGAACTATTTAAAAACATTCACAAAATAAGAGTGCTATGACACTGCCCAACATGTTACATCAGAGAAATCAGGCAAATAAAATTATATGAATGTCAGAAAACCTATCATGGAAATAAAAACAGTCCGAGAGATTTCAGTATGAAAAGAGAGAGGGGTTGTAGGGAAGCGCATCATGCCCGAGCTCCTCGAAAAATAATTCTTATCTCGGGATATTTCAGTACTATAAGGACAAAACATTGACGTGATATTGTGAAGTATAACACTCTGATAATAGCAAATACTGTATTGTGATTAAACTTGTGTCAATAACCTACCACATGGGTACGACAAGTGACTTAAGGAACAGTGCCACGAAAGGTCGCCAAAGGCTGACACAGATGTAGTGATGGTGCTGGTGGAGCGTAGAACAACCAGTGAAGTTAAACATGATACAAGAGATTTATAATCTAAAGAGGCAGAAAATACCACTACTCTGGCGAGATAAGAGGGAGGCAACAAATCATCTGGCAGTGTGTAGGTGCATAGGCCTACTTGCGGGAGGCACGGTACTGCATAGGTTTCACTAAATGGTGGCAAGATTTTGATAAAGATAGAAAACTTGAAAAAAAATTAACACAACAGTGTGCATTGAGGCTTATAAATTCTAATGAATTATAATGAATATTAAATATGAAACTGGCTCCCCCACACTGGAGGCAAAGGTCTGACCCAGGGAGAAGCCAAACCCCCCACACCAGGCTGCCGACATCTACAGTATACACCTACAGTATATACTGGAATATGCAGCTACATAGTCTTCTAGAAGAGAACAGACAAATTAGTTTTACATATTGAATGTTGAAATACTACAACTGACTACACAATTGCAAGATTAGACAAGTACAAGATCTTGTCATTCACACAAAACAGCACACTTGCCAACTGTGGGGAGCTCCCTTCCAAAAGTACAGACAAACAACAGCAAACAAGACAAAATGGCCATAAACAAGACCTGACCTGTGGTCACTGCAACAGAACCTTAAAGACCAAAACAATGGGATTTACACGTTACACATGTAAGAATAGATTTCACTTGGCTTGTACAGAGGTGAGCACCAAAAGTGGGTATGTGGGCCTGTGGGCCGCTCCAAGCAACAGCCTGGTGGACCAAATTCTCACAAGTCGAGCCTGGCCTCGGGCCGGGCTTGGGGAGAAGAAGAACTCCCAGAACCCCATCAACCAGGTATCAAACAGGTACCACAATGGGCCTGAAAACTGGACATTTACCCTAGGTATGCAACAATGATTTGCCAACTTTGAGTATATTAAAACAACTTCTAGACTTCTAGATACCATGACCGACAAATTTCATTCACTGAAAGTCGACCAGCAATCAGGAAGAGTGGGAAACACACAATAATAGACCAGGAGCCGACACAATAGACAAAACTGAAATAGAAATCCAGTTAGTTGTAAATTTTGATTCAGTATGTCCAGATAAAGATGACTAGAAAGTAACAGACAGCACTGACAGTTCGATAGGTGCACACACACTATACAGTCCTCGATACAGACCTGGACACACATTTGCAAATTCTATGTAAAGGACACTTGCACACATTCTAGAAAGAGAAAGGGATTGGAATGCAACTACCATCATCCCACAAATTGTCTCAATATTTTTTTATTTGGGAAAATATTGATTTGGATCAACACGTAGGTTTTTCCATCCTGACATGTGCAAAACCTCACTCGACGACAAAATGCTATGACCTCATCTGCTCAGATCTTCATGTGAAAGGCTCGGAGCACTACATAAACAGTGGCAAACAAGAAAATGGCCTTAGAGGAAAGTAAAATAATTGTTTATACCCAGATGAAAGAGGTTTCAACAGGTGGAACAAAGAATGTATGATACTGGATGAAAGACCCACTTGCATACCACCCACTGCAGTACTGTATTTGGAGCTTCCACAGAAACCAATGCAGGGGAATTCTTGAACAGTGAGATCTGGATACCAGAATATAAACTATACAGATGTGATAGGGTAAATAGGTCACATGGAGGAGTGGGTCTGTATATTAGAGAAGACCTCGTATGCTTAGAGCTCCTTAACTCTACAAATGAGGTGGTAGAATTACTGGGAGTAAAAATGGAGAAAATATACTTCTTGAGTTTATCCTGAGATGATTTCGGGGCTTTAGTGTCCCCGCGGCCCGGTCCTCAACCAGGCCTCCACCCCCAGGAAGCAGCCCGTGACAGCTGACTAACACCCAGGTACCTATTTTACTGCTAGGTAACAGGGGCATAGGGTGAAAGAAACTCTGCCCATTGTTTCTCGCCGGCACCTGGGATTGAACCCGGGACCACAGGATCACAAGTCCAGCGTGCTGTCTGCTCGGCCGACCGGCTCCCAAACTTAAGTTATTATTCTGATATACAAACTGCCAGATGCAACAGCTGAAGACTTCACAGAACAGATAAACAAAAACCCAATACCTGATATTGTTGAAGTTGAAGTCATCTTCCTAGGCGACTTCAACTTGCCTAGTCTAAGATGAAGAATAGCAAACAATATTATACCAGGAAATCTATCTGGACACAACCAACCACAGAACTACTGAGATTGTGACAAATTTTCACTCAACCAGCAGATAACCGAGCCAACTAGGAATGAAATTATTCTAGATCCGATCTTCACAAACAATGACAACATAATCGGGGACACTACGATCTCATAACACATACTCAGATCACAAGCTCAATGAACTCCAAACTAACATCACTACTGATAAAAGGCCCTAAAAAACAATGACCAGAAGAGAGGGGTTATTCAGTAAATTCAATTTTAATAATAAAAAGATAAGACTGGAAAAAATAAACAGGGAACTTGCAAACATTCAGTGGAAAATTGTTCTAAGTAATAAAAAATTCCACACAAGGAATAGAACAACTGATTCCAGAAGCATATAAACAGGTCCAACATAGAAAGAACACAGACAATACTACACAAGGACAAATTTAAACGGAGACTGAAGAAATCGAGCAAAAGATTGAAGCATTCATAGACTGAAGAAATGCAATTAGAATAGAAAGCAAGACAAGAAATAAAGAAAAACCCAAAATATTTATTCACATATACAAAATCAAAAACTACTGCCAGTATTGGACCTATTCGTACAAGTGAAGGCTCACGTATACAAGTCACACCTTCGTATCATCCTTTGCAGATGACAAAAATCAGCACGAAAATTACCTCTGCTGAAGACAAAAAAAACTACAAGCAGACATTAATAAAGTTTTCGACTAGGCAGAGAAAATAACATATTTAACCCTTCCACTGCTCAGGGGTACTGAGGACATTTATACCCCTGTGCGCAAGAAAAAATTCTAAAAAAATTCTTTCATCTTCTTAAAATGTTAATTTGTGTTCCCCAAGTACGGGAAAAATAAGTAGGCGACATACTTTGGACGCAATAGACTGAGGAAGTCTGGCAAAAAGTGGGCGTTGACAGAGAAGTCATCAGAGCTGGTCAGCGTCACCCGCACTGATAGGTGGGAGTTGCTACAAAGATATTATCACTTAATTATTTCTGTCTGATTTTTTCTTATTTTCTTTTTTTGCAGTAATATTATTCAATAGTGTGTATTGTAATATATCTATATAATAAAAGTGGTGAATAATCACTATACTCAAAAGTATGGTGTGCATATTAGTGACTCAATTATTATGTTCATAAAATAAACAAACAAATAGTTTTGCTGTTATTACACTCTATACACACATGTTATATAGAAGTACAGTATCTGCATGTTTTGTTCACCATAACGAACCACTAAGTTGGTATCGAGAGTCTAAAAGCAACGAGGAGTGACCGGCACACACCAGCCAGCCACTCGTTGCCACTCCCTCAACAACGCCTCACTCGCCCACTTTTTCCTCCCATCATCCTGTTTTATATTTTATTCATAATATACAGATGTTATATACAAGAATCTACATGTTTTGTTCACCACAACTGTACAACTAAGCTCATATAGTTAGTTCAGGCACACACACTAAACTTTCTCCCCCCAACAATACCGTTTGTGGTGGTATTACACTATATACAGACATTATATATACGTATGTACAGTATATGTTTTGTTCACCAAAACTGTACAGCTAAGCTAATATAGTTAGTTCAGGCACTAAGAGTCATCGCTATACACAGCTGGCGGCTCCCTCACTCATTCAA